ATTACAAGTTAGCCAATTTACATTATAGTATTTTTAACTATAAGGATTTAATGTAAAATTATTTATGACAATTGACTAAATTGTTTTATAATTAATTGTTTTATTATTTTGTAAATTATGCTAATTTACCATGATTATATTTACCATATAGACCAAATATTACATAACAACGTTATATGATTGTATTAAATAGATTATGATAAACCAAATGTGAAGGTTATTGTGTTAGGCTGATAAAAAATAATATAAACAGTTAGCGACAAAATATAATCACTTTTAATATTAAAACTAACTCTCATTTGTACATTGATGTTATTAGACTAAATCACAATCTTCATAATTAATAAACAACATGCCGTTTATGCAGTTCTACACCACATTACCGGCCCATCGCGTGCCACAGGATTTCACGCAAAAAACAATTGCTGTATTGAGTCAAGTGTTAAAAGACAAACCGGTGGACAGAATTACTGTACATTTATTTACGGATCAAAATATTCATACAGGTAATTATTAATTATGTTGTAGCAATATGTTTTTTATAAATAATATTTCAGAGAGAGAGAGAGAGAGAGAGAGAGAGAGAGAGCAAGTTGATTTTTATTACAATATGAAAATATCAGTATAAAATAAATAAATAAATAACCTAGTTAATATTATATTGTAATTAATGTTAACAGGCAGCGACCCGGATCGTCAGGTGCCCAACGCATACGCCGTACTTCGTAGTATCGGTCGCGTGAGTCCCGATGAAAATCGGCACACAATAGACGTGTTGTCCCGACACGTGCAGCGAGAATTGGGCGTAACTACCGATCAGTTTCGTCTATTTTTTATTGATTTGGACCCAAATATGGCTGCATTTAAGGGCAAAACTTGCGCCGATCTTGGTATTTAAATATTACTGTTTCATCACTTTGTTTAGACAATATTTGTATGCGCTAAATTAAATATAATTTTAATTGTTAAAATTCTTAACTTTATATTATTATTAAGTCATATAAATGTGACAATTAATACTTGCAAAATAAAATTATTATTATTTGAATAATTTAATAAATATATACTTGTGTATTTGACGACCCTGTGCCTTAACATAATTTTAAAAATTACACTTTTACAAAATTTAGTTACTTTTATAGTAGATTTATACTTGATATATGTTTCTAAAAATTAACATATTCTAAGTTTTTAACCTAATTACTATAAATTATAATTATTTTATTGTATAATTATTATTGTAATTACTGATACTTTATACTGTTTTAATTACATTATAAATGTTTGTGATTTAATTACAACAATTACAAGGTTACAAACTATTACAATTATATTATTTGCATAACAATATAAGTTATTTAATTTCATTTCGCCCACGGTAAATTATGTCCACGTACGTGCAAACATGACATTATTTAATTGATGTCTTGCTTAAGTACAGTATAATATAATTTAAAATTAATGGCATAATAAATGACATAAAATATTTAATTGCTTTCAATGGTCATGAAATAATTAAGTTCATTTATTGTGAACAAATATAAATAGGGCATTCGTTTAATTTTTAAAACATTTGTATTCAGTAACTTTCTAACATAATTAAATTAAACCGGGTTTGTAGTAAATTTGTGTTATATTTGTGCTAATATAATATAAATATGAATAAATGTTTTGATCTAGATAAACCAATACCTTATAAAATTCGGGTAAAAGATGCAGATAATCTATTTTACAGCATTGGTTTATCCCTATTTTTACCCGAATACTCCAAAGCCAAACGTGCTAGGTTAAATCATCCATTAATAGTGTTCATTAATTTGATCATGATGATGATTAGAACGGCAACACTTGTCTACATAACTATTAAGGGCATTGAAATGCCAAATTTGTATCATTTATACCTGGGTGATTGTGATTATTATGCCAATACTGGTTACACAATTAATCTATTGCTATTCTTGTTGTCACTGTTTGCCATCGGTTTGCAACTAATAAATTACATAAACCATAGAAATGGCGTAAAACCCGTGGATTTGCGTGTATTTCAAATGATCGCCGGTTTTATTACACCAAATAGTCTGGGGGTTAATGATTGCAAATCAGTATTAAATGTAACAAGGTTATTTTGTAATCTATTTAACGCGAGCAGATTAATTTTAAAGACTGTGCCATTTATGGGCTTTTTCTACCCGTTCATCTTATTTATCATGTTTGATAATCATGATAACTTGTTATTGGTAAAATTATTTTATTCTACCGTACATGCAATTTGGGGTTATTATTCATTTACAATAATTATCTATCAAACCGTATATTACATTGTAATAGCATTTTATCTCACATCTAAAATCAAAGCATTGAATGTAATAATACTAAATAAGTTACTTAAACCCAAACGAGGTGTTAACATTTTGACCATTTTCAAAAAACTAAACGCTATTTACGCAGAAATAGCTGAGTATAACTCAATTTATTGGTCGAAATATTTATTTATTGTTTGGGTAACATTGAGTTCGATTATAAGTTTGTCTATATATGCGACCATGTTTTCTCAAATTATAATAATTTTTAAATCTGTGACAATATTTTTATACATATTTTTCACTATTTGTTTGCTATTCATAATCCATATCTCGTCCGCACTCTATAATGAAGCAAAATATACGTATATTTTGTTCAATTCATTCATTTCACATAAAAACAAAATACAACTCGCATTGAACATAAAGGTATTATTAAATTATATTATTTTTTTTATAAATTACTAATATTTGTTATTTTTATATATTTTATTTTTAAAATAGTTGAATAATTTAATTACGAGAATCGGTCGCAAGAAAATAGGCTTTTATTGTTGGAAATTATTTATCATAAACAAATTACGAGGCTATGAAGTAAAAATATTTATTTTGTAATTAATATTAATTATAATTATTTATGCTTAACAGATTATCGCCATGGTCGTTATATTCTATATGAAATTAATTGAGTAAAATATAATACTCATGTTAATTTTACTAATGATCTGTTTGAATTTACAAATAAATACTAGTAATTTAATAACTTTTGTTAATTCAATTGATATTTGTGTTAATTTATAAATGTAAATAATGTACACCTAATTTGATATACATTAAACATACGCTAATTATTTGTATAATTAAATTTTAATTATGTAATATTTAACATAATAAAAAAGTGAAAAATCTATTTTGAATAGTAAATAAATATAGATATATTTGGGAATCTAACTTTATTGGACTAATGCTAATTCTATGGACAATGTTATGCTATGGGATTCATATTAAAACTATAGACAATGATTATCTATTGTGTGATTCTTAATTAAAATTATCACATAATTTACACGATATAAGATGTACAGAATAAATTTATATAAACTTTAAGATAACTTTATAAAATATAATTCTCATTGTTGTGCCCAAACCACTGATTTTTGTATAGTTTACATTGTAATGTTTGCACAAGTGTGAATATATTAATTTAGTATATCATTTATAATTGGACATCACTATAATTTGTTGTACAAACATTCACTCGCACTCTCACTAATGTTTACACTATAAAACTTATGCTGTGTTTAATAGTATAATTATAAAATCAAATTTTGCTCACTAATATACTGTACTAATATTCTGTACCAATATATTATCAACAATTATCTATTAACTTACATTTATATTTAGTAAATTACTTTGTCCAATTTAACTACACATGCACTTATTAATTATTTAATTAACAAAATCATTCCGTGTTCATTGACATAATTATAGTACAATTAAAGTTCATGTTAATTAATAGAGCCTTATAAAAACAACCAAACACATATTAAAACTTACCTACAAAAATATCAAACGAGCATATTATGATAAGTTTATTTAAATACTCTGTCACAATAATTATTCAATTAGTTCAATTACATCTTAACTAATTATAAACAATCATCACTAAATCATCATGGTCATTCAGTTGGATTTAAACCAACCAATACCAAATGAATTGCGTATATCCAATGCGGAGAATCTATTGTACCATATTGGATTTTCATTTTTAAAACCGCAATACTCACCACCAAAACGTAATAGATTATTTAACCCAATTATTGTATTCAGCAATTTATCTATGATGGTAATTAGAACAATACTTCTTCTATACATTTATATGAAAGGCATAAATATTCCAGATGTATATCATTTTTACCTTGGTAATTGTGATCATTTTGCTGGCACTGGTTACACAATAAACTTGTTGCTTTTATTACTGGCAATGTTTGCCGTATTATTGCAATTAATAAATTACTTAAACCATAGAAATGGCGTAAAACCCATGGATTTGCGTATCTTTCAAATGATCGCCGGTTTTATTTCACCAAGATCTTTAGGCATTACCGATAGCAATATAGTATTGAAATTGTTACATTTATTTAGCAATTTATGTAGCGTTTGTAAAATAGTTATAAAAATTGTGCCATTTTGTGGATTTTTCTATCCGTTGACATTGTTTATCATGTTTGACAATCATGATAATTTATTAATTATTAAACTCGTTCATTCTGTCTCATATGCCGTTTGGGGTTATTATGTTTATAATATAATTCTCTATCAAACCGTGTATTACATTGTAATCGCATTTTATCTTAAATACAAGATTGAGTCAATCAATTCAGAAATCTATAACAAATTAGTTAAATCAAAACAACGAGTTAATATTTTATTCATACTAAAGAAATTAGATAATATTTACGCTGAAATATATGAGCATAATTTAATTTATTGGTCAAAATATTTATTTGTTGTATGGATTACGTTAACCTCAATTATAAGTTTATCAATTTATACGACAATGTTTTCATAGATTTTATTTGTGTTAAAATCTGTCACAATATTTATTTGTGTATTTTTTAGTTTATGTTTACTATTTATAATCCATATCTCGTCCGCACTCTATAATGAAGCAAAATATACATATATTTTGTTCAATTTAATCATTTCTCACACAAATAAAATAATTCATCTCTCATTAAAACTTAAGGTAATTTTTACATTCTTACTTTCTTATCTTATATAACTGTTTCACTAATTATTTAATATTAATTCAAATAATAGTTATTAAATCTGATGGAAAGGATTGGTGTCCATAGGATTGGCTTTTATTGTTGGAAACTATTTATTATAAACAGTTTCAGAGGCTATGAAGTAATTAATACAATTTTACAATACAATATTTAATACAATTTGTAAACATAAATCAAATAAACATGGCTTTTATTATTACAAATGTTTGCTAGATTATCAAATGTTTACTTAAGCCAATATGTTTATCTGATATATTAATTTAACATTATAATTTATTTTATTTTATTTACAACTAATTATAATTATAAAATTTATTCATATAGATTATATCAATGGGCATTGTATTTTACTTAAAATTAGTTGAATAGTTGTTTTTCAAATTTAAAATAAAATAAATAAATGTATTGCGTAAAATTTTTTATTTATTCTATATTGTAATATTATATTTTATTAAATATAATTTAATAATTGTATTATTTAATGTTATATTTTTGAATTAAAAGTAATCATTTTTAATAAATAAATTTTATATTTAATATCTACACCTTATCCTCGATTTAGGGAGACTCGATATAAGGCTAATTCGATTTAAGAGAGGGTTTTGTGCTGCACCGACCGCTCCTATGAAAGATTAACATTATGGCACTCGATATAAGGAAAATTCTATTTAAGCAAAACTCGATATAAGAGACATATTTTAGTGCACGCACAGCACTGCTGTACTCTATATAAGCAAATTTTATTTTAAAACAGTACATAAAAACGGGTTTTGTACAAAAGTATTGATTATTACCGTAAATGAAAACACGTTTTGTATAAAAGTGTTGATTATTTTTATAAAAACACATTTTCCCTTAAAAATGGCTGACAAATAGTCTTGAAATAATGTTACATTAGAGACTAAATATAAAGTGATTAAATTAGTTACAAAAAGTGTCCAAATCAAGGGAAAATTAAACAATTTAGTGCTGAAAGACTCATGATATCAAACATTTACATGTTTTATGCCCAAAGAGATGCCATTATTAAAAATTTTGAGACATCAAAGTCATC